TCGGTGGCAAAAAATGCTTTACCATGTTACGTCCGTAGGCATATTTACCATCGTTGTATTCGACGGGAACTCGGAGAAAAGGAGAATGTATGTCTTCCGTTATATAGGACTCGCAAATATCGCAATAAACAAAGAGTTTATCAGGTACACCCCGCACCACTACCTGGTTCGTCGGACATAAGTTTACGTTTTGCCGTGGTGAAAGCGTAAAACTTTTCTTCTCCAGCTTTCTGGGGATTCACATTACGATCAGTATTGGGATAGTACGCCACTGCATAATTTTCGACAAGTTAAGATGAATTAATTCTTCGCTCGGTCTATACATATCGAAGCCAAGTATACGAGCCATTTTGTCGGAAAACTTCACGAAATGAAGTATATTGCATTCTTTAATATCGGATGTGTAGTACAGCGTTACTTTACCACCATGATGAGGATCCTGGCGCCAAGCAATGTGTGTTTTGAGTAATGAACTAGCGTTGTTTAAAGCCTGTAACAGTTCGCTCATCGTGGCGTAAACCCCCGGGGTTATGCGGGTAACCCCGAATTTGGGTAGCTGGTCTTCATCTTTCTTGTCGCTTTTGGTATTCATATTTTCACGTGGTAACGAAATGAATTTGAGTTCTGCATCTTCCTCAGGACGCACGTGTAAAAAACTAAAAGGGAATTGAATTTCAGTAAGCGCAACTTCCCATAAACCAGTCAGCTTCACTTCTTGAGGCAATTCCGTAATAAATGAAGTAATCGTATTTTCTGGATAGTGTCGCATGCTACTATTGCTCGGTAGAATCATGAGAAACCGGTCTTCCCCCATCATGGTTTGGAAGCAGCTTTAGGTTCGAAGCAGGAATTGAATTTAGAGGGGAAACCCCGCCAGCTGACGAATAATTCTTTATTAGCTCCTTGTCCTCTGCGTCGTATCACTTTATCCACGATAAACTCTTCTTCTTGTAAGTTTTTATTTACCCGGGTCAGTTCTTGTTCGTAGAATATCCCATCGATCACATCACCTGATAGATCACTCAATTCGTACACACGAGGATTTCGCCATTCGAGAATACGGTGAATCCGAAATATTTCTTCCGTCCAGTTCGCCTCATATCCTTTCTCGAAGACTCTTTTCGCTCTACTGACTCGCACTAATGTACCCACTTTGTATTTAGCTCCTCGACTATGATTTCTTCGATCGAGTTCATCGAGACGGTGGTATCGCTGCTGCATATGTTCACGAGCAAGGCGTGCGTTGTCCAACGTGACGCTTGCCGGTTCCATTTTAATGGTGGAATGTCGAGTGTGGTTATAAGCATGAACGATGCCTGGCAAAACATCTATGTAATGACGTGTATTTTTGTGTGTAAAATAGCGCCATAAGCGTTCTTTGAGCGTTCTGTTGAAGCATTCGACCACCACTGCTTTGACATCAGGATTTCGCACCGTGCGAAAACATATGTTCTTTCCTTCAGAAAATTCTGAAATGCTTGGCCGATGAATTCTTTACCCTTGTCACTCTGCAACCACGCCGGCACCCGCCCTTCGTTTCTTGAGAGTACGTGACGAAAAGTCTCCGTCACACTGGTCGAAGACTTGCTCCGTATTGGTTCCACACAGACAAATTTGCTAAACACATCGATGATTATCAACAAGTAACAATAACCTTCGTTGTAATTCCGGAGCTTAGCGAGTTCGATTAAATCCACTTTCCACAGATCGTCGATATTCGTGACGTTGTAATGCAAACGTGGAAATTTATGTCGTGTCGGCTGATGCAGTGTGTACGCATCCTGCGACTGAAGCCAACGAATAATCTCTTCGCGCGCGGAGCCGGGTCCTGCTGCTCGCGAAAGATTTTTTATCGCAGAGTATCCCGCATAGTGTGCAGGTTCGTAGTAGAATTTTGCGAGATCGGTCATTCCAGCGTGTTCCAATTGATCAAACATCTTTTACTTGCTGATTTAGATGCGTTGTTGTTCACACGCGTTTTACGCCTATATTGATCGGAAGTTATAAATGTTGCGTGTACACGCCCCCCGTCGCGTTCTTCTCCCGCGAGAGACGTCTCCCCGATAGCGCTTGCACGTTCGCCCCTTCGCTGGTGGAAGTCGATGTGCATAGCTGTTAGCCGTTGAAGAAGCTATACTCAATTCTAACGGGTCCCAATCTATCATGGATCTTTTATTCGCTGGTTTAGAAACGTCACCGCTCATTCCCGTTTTATTTCTATTCTCATTAGTTGTTACAAACAGCGCCCGTCCATCCTCGTCATCCTTTTCCTCAAGCGACGTCTGGGCAATCTTACGTTTAGACCAAAGTTGATCGTTAGGTGACGGGAGCGGGGTACTTCTACCTCTCGGAAGAGTTTCTCTCAATCTCGCGGAAAGATTATTTTCTTCCGTGTCTTCCTGCAGTAATTCCTGATTTCCTACAAATTCCGGAGGAATATTCACTTCACGCAAAAGTCGTGCAAACTGTACTCTCGCTACCGCTCTGCTAGTTTTTCGTTCACGAGCCGCGTCGTTCAAGAAATCGATGATATTCGATCTTCTCAGAATTCTATCATCTATAGTCACGACTCCCTGTCTGTCCCAACTTAATCGACCGGGTACTGCCACATCACACAAATGGGTCAGCAGCTTGTGCGCTTTAGCCGGATAACTTTTTGGCACTTTATTCAGTATTCTTCCGATGCTTTTCTGTTCTCTGGTGCGATGATGATGACTGCGTCTTTCGTCTCGTACGTGTTGAAAAACGTGCAACGTTCGATGTATGTCAGTTTCTAGGTTAGGAACATCTTCATTTACAACCATACCAGCGTTTTCTTCTACCGCGTTTCCGTCAGCATAATCGTCATCTTCGCGAGGGGTATTTACCCCTTCCCCAGCGTTTTCATCACCGTCGACCTCACCAACAACAGGCTTCTCCTTTTCTCCACGTAATCGGTGTTTTTCCCGCTCTCGAAAAAAGTACAGATATGGCTGAAGTACTTCTCTATACAATTTCCATTTTTCCCGTGCTCCTCCGAGGACCGGAGAGTTGAGAATTCTATGCATCTCGGCGTCGAGGCGCGACAAGACAGGATACGCACCATATTTTCATTCTCTACTGGTGCTATGTTCAGCCCAGTTGCGGAATTATCTGTCAAAACAGAGGCGATCGCAGTTGAGGAAGACGACAACGACGACGACGCTGAAGTCAATGATGTATGGACCTGTTGCTGCAATCTCTCGAGATTATCCGTAAAAATCAGTACCACCTTCTTGGCTCTTTCCATGGTTCAAGCGTGAACAGTCTCAATTACCGATAATTTTGGATAATATAGCCCCGAGTATAGGGACGATCAGATAAGGTAGAAATCCGCCTCGCTGCACTATCGCTCTCCGTTTGCTTCTCCAATCATCGCGATCATTAGCGATATGACGCAACGTTGATTTGTAACGCGATAGGCAATTTTTTTCTCTTCTGTCAAACGGTACGTTACCTTTGAGCGTGTTGAAGACGCACTCACAAATACATCTGATAAAATCACGATCAGCTTCTCGCAGAAAGGCAGCACGTTGTTTCTCCGTCAAGTAACACAACGCCTTCAGAAGAGAGATGTTTTTCTCACCGATGGACCGTTTTGCTGCGTTTGCGGTTCCATCGCCTTTTTTCGCATTCGCTCTGCTCCCCCCACTCACTGCCATTACGACGATAAGACTGTCGCAGAATGATCGTATGCATGGGTTTTATACGTAACTTCTGGTGGATCCACGCCGAACGTAAATATAATGCGTAGTTATCAGTGGGGAAGATGCATGTACGAAACCGATACTCATCCGGGGTAGATAGTTTCAGATCGAGCAACAAATACCCATGTGGAAACGATGTAGCGTCATAGTAAGCTTCTTCCAAAAACTTTGAATCTTTGAATCTTCCAGACATACCTGCCTGACCAAGTGACGAATCTGAGCGCGATCGCGAGGGTTTTTGAACACCACGATGTAATTCGCGTTGAGAGAAATATCTCGTTGTCCTTGATGAAATAGATTTTGCGAAATGAGTACAATACTGAGGTTTTTGTGATGACTACCCTTCGTGAACAGATCGACGATTACTTCGCACAATGACGATTCCCTCAAGAGATCGTCTATTATCACCATTTTTGCGACAAGCGGATCGTTTGAATAATCATCCAGACGCGGTAAGCCTTCTCGAAATTCTATCACGGGTCGTCCCGATTTCGCCGCTTCATGCTGTAGTTGGCAGTAAGCCTCTTGCCACTCGGCATAATAAAATGGGATCCTGTCGAAATGTGTATCCGCCATCGCGGGTAAATAGCGAAGAAAAGTCTTTACGAAAACCGTTTTCTCACATCCCGTAGGGCCGCAAACGATCGATGTCCAAGGATGTTTCCAGCGCGCCATTTTGCTAAATGACTGATTCGGTTACATAGTGAAGCTACATAAATGATGAAGAAAAAGAGAAACGGCAATGAGTTTATAACTAGCGCCGGGAGTCCTTCTGTGGCGGCTGCGCGGTCCCGCTAGCTCATATCCGTAGAAGCGCCATGTCGAATAAGCTTTTTCACGTGGCGCTCGCAGCTGCGGGAATAGCTTATTTTAGCACCGCTAACGATATTAACTTTCCAGCGTGAAGCTGCGGGCTAATAATCGTTCAATGAGCTCGTACGAGCGAACGCTTGTGGGTGAAAGAAACTGTTTCTAACGCTATAATTTGCTAAGATTTATTGTGATTCAGGAGTCATATACAAGGATAGAAATACATATATATTTGTAAAAGAACTTATTTCTTTTTTATTTTGCAAAAGCTTTATTTTAATAGAATATATACGTACAGTTTGCGCAAAAGTTTCTTATAGAACTAGTGCATACACGATATACAAGGTAGTCACTTTTGGGGAAATGTCTGTATTTATATTTTTCTTACTCTACAAATAAGTGTTTAGATTGGAAGTGTTTAGATAAGTGTTTAGATTGGAGGAGAAAGAACACGTTCTACTATTCTTACGCCACTACGTAACCGCATGGCACAGAGGGACCTGTGTCGTCGAATCTACGTTTTAGGAGCACCGGCACGCATGACTTGCTCTCGTCTCTCGTTACAATGTCGTGAAACCATGTACGATGAATCGCTCTAAAACGTAGATTTATCGAAGTTTTCCTCGCATCCTCCTTCTTCTCTTCCTCGTTCTCATCGATAGGTATTTTATTGGTGACTAATAAATTTTTTATACTACTAAAATTAATATATTTCGAAGTCTCAAAGTTCAGGGTTATTCCCTTTACTTTACAAACTTCATGGATTTTATCTTGTGGAGTGCGAACGACATAGGCATAAAATTTTGGGCCTCCGGATACAAAGGATTCTATGTAGCTACCTTGACCATAACTTTCGAGTTCGTTCGTCATATCGCCCAAGAAATTACCCGTACGCGGCTTGTACTCATTGGGGTCACCGGTGCTCAAATATATACATGAATCAATATCATATTATAACAATCTACGATCTAGTTTTTCTAAATAAGCATACAATTTCAAGCGTGCCTGTGCCGTGTAGGCCGCTATTACGACGCTTGTAGTTGCAGAGGGAACAAGCGCCTCTTGTCGTAATCGCCATGAGACATAGAGAACCTTATCGTTCACGGGCAATATGTTTGTGATTTCATGCTCGGGACTCGTGAGCAGCGACATGAAATGTTCACGCGTCTTAACGACCTCGGTATTCGGCAGATTAGATCGCTGACCGAATTTAGCCCAGAACGAATTGTTAAAGCTTTGCAACCGAACGCAACCCTGAATTTACCGCGATGTTGTTTCTATCGAGAACAATACCTTCTGTTTTTTCGTATTCCCGCAGGTATCGCTCTTTGGCCTCTTCATCGTCGGTGCATTCAGCAAGCCATCCGCTAGCCTCCTGCTTAAGTTGCAGAAAGCAGTTGATATATCCCGCAAACATACCTCCCAACAGAGTACTTGGGTCGTATTGCGAAATCTTATATTTCCATATCTCGCTCACAGACCTGATACTATAGCCCTTCTCTATAGCCTTCCGTAGTTCACAGGATACCCAGGTACCCTCAAATTCTCGACCGGCCGGATTATCATGTGTGCACGGAGATTGAGAAAATGTCTCGCAGCAACTACGGCATAGGACGAACAATAATTTTCCGCGAGCGCGAAATGAGAGTATAGGGTAAAAGAGATCACGCGGAGCGAGCACCTTGCACCACACGATTCCCTCCACTCTGCTAAAGTCAAAATCGGGAGCTGTACCAATCAAGGCAGAACATTCTTCGCCCACGTATACGTCCGGGTGACCGAGCGGAAAAGAGCCCGTCTTTAGCACAAACGGGTACAAGGAGCATACGTCTACGTAATTTCTCCGTACCCATAATATCGCACCGGGTGACGATGTTCTCTGTATAACCACCAAAGAACGCTTCGCGAGGATCGAGAGGCTCAGTTTCTAACATCGAGTGATTCGCAAGGAAATCGCGCATCGGTTGATTGTCCTGTAACTTCCGATCGAAGAAGCACTCCCACTTCTCCATTACGATGTAACCTAGCTTCTGTAGACGAGATTGTCATGCGTGTATGCCCGTATCGCGACTCAATAGTATCCTCCTTCACGGTGGTCGAGAGCGGGGATTCGCGATTCACCCTGAAACACGCGGGACATCCATGTCAAAAATACCCGTGAAATTGAAACACATGTCTTTGTGCAGGATTCGTTGTCTCGTAATACCTATTGACGAGCAGCCCTTCCGATATGCGATGTTCGCGAGATCTACCTGCATGCGTTATAGTATGACCGAGCTCGCGCTCTATCCACAAGAAGCATTTCAACGCTTTGCGGGATTGGTTGTTGACACGCCGATATTCACCCGAAAGTATAATACCTATCTCCTTTTCACGCAGAAAGTTTTTACGAAAAACTCTCATGCATGTAGAGGCGATGGTTGTTCATTATTCAAACGGACATACTTTTCCACGATCCAGGAAAATCTTACGGAATGCAAGACAAGCCCATCGAAGAATATCGACATCGTTCCGGCAATAGCTCACAATTTCCCATTGGAAATCAAATTCTATGTTTTTGCGCACCATGTCCTCGTGCCATTCTAAAAACTGCTCACGCTCAGGCGGTCTCATCGTTTCAGGAGAATAGTATCTTGTATCTAATATCAGTCCGATGTGATGTTGATTTTCGACAGTGTTAAATAAATGCGGAAATGGACCTTTGGCTGCAGTATCTTTTAACTCGAAGGCTTTTGGTAATGCTGACAAGCGCATAGGCATATAACTAATACTGTCGATAAATTTTGTTTGCCCAATGGTTAACAATATAATCTTCGTACCGTTTAAAATAAGCTTAGGTTCCACCCGATTACCGCTCTCGACCAAGTACCGTAGGATAAATTGCGCATCGAATGCGCTTGCGTTGTGTGCGATGCACATGATCTATTTGAAACTCTTCCTCGGTCTCGTGACAAAATCGACGAATTGTTTCACCGGATTGTTTCGAATTATAAATTCGCGTATCCCGCACCAACAACATCGCAACGGCATATCGTCTACATTCATGCAGCTTTCACATATCTGCTGCGCAACACAGAATGTCACAACGTGAGTTTTAACGTTTTCTGTGCCTTCGATCGTATCGTCTTGACGCGTTTCAAAATCATAGAACACAAACACGATGCGACCTATTACGCGCTTACTTGTTTCCGTCGCTTTGCCAATGTCATCAACTACGTTTTCGTTTCCTACTCGCTGCGGATTCATCATGTCGGATGAACCAGTGTCACATCGAAGTGGTTTCATATAACATAGATAATTCATTGGTTGCAACGTGTTGCAAACACGACAAAAGATCTCATTGCAATTGTGTTTGTTCCTCAAGTTTCGTAAACGGCCGCAGTCACTGCAAACTCTCAGGATATTACAGATGCTCAAAGATGAACTGTCTTGGAGCGATTTTTGCGCTCGATGACGCTCGAAACACACCGACCCGTAAAATTCACGTTGACACGCAGCACATCGTGTTAGTTCTACGTCCAATACCTCGCACGCTGGAACGTCGTGACACCGTGGACACGCGTTTGAGCACCGATGCCCTCTTTCCGGCTTATATCCGCTATTACAACATGCACAATAACCCTGGCTGCCTGATGCAGCTCTTAAATTTAATATTGGATTGTAATGCCGGAATTTTTCGTAGTACATAATATTCAGAGTCATTTTAGCTTCGCGCCCGTGGGAGGTGAATACGCCGCTACCATTGTACATGGGGGTGCACCATGTGCGAAAGAACTAAAGTAATAAACAACGATCACGATATCATTGCTGGCAAGATAATGCTGGAAACGCTCGATCTCGGGAATACCGCACTCTTCTTCAAATATACAGACACCGGCTTTCCGTGTCAGTTCGATCTAGGTCTCGTTATAATATAGAATATTGCTTTCTCACGGAATTCCATTTATCATGTATTT